CATACATACATACATACATACATACATACATACATACATACACACACACACACACACACACGCACACACACAACACACACACGCACATACATATATATCAGGAGTAGATAATAGGGAAGGAGTGTGACATCAATAAACAAGGGAAATTCGTCATTTACTAGCCTTATAATACCTACGATTTACTACAGCACTTGAAACTCATAATCGTACACAGTACATTTGCCTAGCATCGAGCGAAATCGTTTCCTCGTATACACCAGCAATCCGGAGATCTATACAGAATAAAACGTACGACACGATTATCCATTCTTTGGCCATCAATCCAAAAGTATTTCCCGCCGAACTTGCAAACAAAAGGCAGCTACTAACGCACTGTCGCTCACTCGGCGAGGCGGTGTGGCTCGCTGGGAGATTGGACATCGACGTCATTATTGATGTCACACTCCTTCCCTATTATATACTCCTGATATATATGTATTTCGTCACCCGACTAGCGGCCGTGTCTATATTAGATTTGTCACCGTCAATGCCGTGCTTGTCACGGATGATCTGGGTCGTGGCCTGTGAAGGGTTAATTACCGTGGTAATGCGGGGTAATATACCCGCACGTAACGCTCCCGTCTGTTAAAGCTCCCTTCTGTTAAACCGCGCCGCAGTTAAAACCCCACTTTGGTTACCCCCCCCCCCCAGCTCGCTTCTCCTCCATCTCCCCTCTCGTTTAGCCCTCCGCCGCTATAACTTCCCTCCGTTAAAGCAAGCCTCCGTTATAGCTCCTCTCTGTTAAAGCCCCCCTCCCCCCATCTTTGGTATAAATGGCATGTCTGTTAAACCCCTTCTCTGTTTACGCCTGCTGCTGTCCCAGTGGAGGTCACATTGAGGCACACGGCAGCGTATACAGTGTTCGGGATCACCCCGAGTGCCGTCATGGCTAGAAGGGGGGGGGGGAGGTTACCCCTATCGGAGGTCACCCCTACCAGAGGTCACCCTTACTGGAGGTCACGCGGTGACATAGTCTAACCTGTGATTCTGTCCGGCGACAGAGCAATGATTCAAGTTCGTGAGTCACATGGGGGTCGGCGGGGTGACGGCGCGGGTGCTGCGTCCGCCCACGCGACAGATGGTCGGACGACTCGATACCGCTGTTCATTTATGTGCCGCGCGTGTCCACTCAGCGGGAGTAATGCGCGCGAGAGACAGGCGGGAGAGTGAGAGAGACAGGCAGAGAGGGAGAGGGAGAGAGACAGGCGGGAGAGCGAGAGGGACAGGCAGAGAGGGAGGGAGAAGGGGACGGGCGGGAGAGCGAGAGAGACAGACAGAGAGGGAGAGGGGGTAGAGGAGAGAGGAGCCAGCGAGTCTGTGAGGCCGCCCCGAGCATTTCCTTTCCTAATGCGCATCGCTGGAAATTTCCGCTTGAAAATTCGGATCGGTTTCGTCATCGGAACTTTCGAACGGCCAGTGACATCAGTGTAACGTGTTATATTCGTGCGTTTGCGAGGTTGTTTTTCTTGCAGAGAGACTTTATATGTAGTCGATAGTCAGTGCTTACGAAATCTATCGCCGGATAGAGGGATTCTTACTCCGTTAATGCTGTCGCGT